TGAGGGTGACAGAGCGCTGGAACAGGCTGCCCAGAGAGGTTGTGGAGTCTCCTTCTCTGGAGATCTTCCAAACCCATTTGGATGCAGTCCTGTGCCACGTGCTCTAGGTGACCCTGCGTGTGCAGGGGGTTGGACTAGATGATCTCTAGAGGTCCCTTCCAACCCTAAGCATTCTATGATTCTATGAAAGGCATCCAGCCTCTTGGGAAGAGCCCGCGTGTGCTCGGGAGCCCCGTGCCGCTCGCGAGCAGCGTGGGGCATGTGGGGAGGATCCGCTCCTCTCCACTATGAAAGGCATCCAGCCTCTTGGGAAAAGCCCGCGTGTGCTCGGGAGCCCTGTGCTGCTCTCGAGCCCCGTGGGGCATGTGGGGAGGATCTGCTCCTCTCCGGCGATCCCGGCTTCCAGCGTCTCTTCCTGCAGAGAGGGGTTTGTGCAGCACAACAGGGCTCCTCCGGTCGGAGTCTCCCGCTCCTGCAGGATGCTGGAGAGGAGCGCCAGGGCTGAGAGGTCGCTCCGGTTCCTCCTCAGAGAGTTGACGGGAAGGGGAATCTTAAACAGCATGACCGAGTGGCTGGATGCTCATTTTTCATTTCCCGGAAGGGGGAAAGCATTTGTGTTATACGGATTCCCTATTTCTGTGTGTGTTTTCCCCAGTGCTGTCCTCCCACACTGTCATGAGGAGTCTCTAGCCTGCTGCTTGTTGTCTGACAACACGCTAAACAATCTGTCCGCTTTGGAAACCTTTCCTCTTCTCTTATTTCCATGATGCTGCAGCTCTCTGTGGACCTCACTCCTGGCCAAATTCGTTGCAGTGAGCAAGAGGTGGTGCTGAGCCGGGGATCGGAGCGGCTTTCCACCCGGGGAGATGAAAGAAAGCTCTACAACTACTTCAGCTCTTTCGAGGGAATCGGAGGCTTCCAAGACCACTTTGACTGGTGAGAAATGGGCTGCTGAGGAAGCGAGTTGGGCATCTTCTCCTCCCCTCTGATTCTCTGAGAGACAGTGCCTGATTCTGAGGTCTTCACCTTGTCATTTCTTCTGTGCATCCACCCCTGTAACCTCTGCTCTCCCCATTTTGATCCAGGGAGACTGACTGGGCTCTTACATCCTCCCTCAGGTCTCCATCACCTCGTGCCCCTCTTATTTTCCTCCAAGCACCCTCTGGTGCAGCATCTGGCTACAAAATGCTTCTCTGGTGGGAGGCAGCAGTAGGCAGAGGGACTAGACTGTGTCTCTCGTGCTGCTTTGCTTCACAGATTTGCCCAGCTCTACGAGCTGCTGTGATGTCCTTCCCCGACTGTTTGCTGTCCTGCTTGCTCTTTTAGGTGGGCCAGAAATCAGTATTCTGCACAGGGTGGGAAGCCCCTGTGGATTGACCCCCACGATCCCAGTGTTCACCACATTTTTATTGACGACAACATCCGGCTGGACGACACGGACACGATTGTTCACTCCCAGGTATGTGGCTGCACCCCTCAGGGCCTGGCTTCCCTGGCTGGAGGGTGTTTCTGGCTGTTTCAGGCACTTTTTCTTTTTTTTTCCCTTCATCCTGCTGTACTGATTCAAAGGGGAATCAAGGCTCAGCCCTGGTGTCACTCGAGCCCAAGAGGTTAGAATCTCTGAGGAGGATGCTCAGGGCTGTCAGTGGGGAGGACGTGGGGGTGTCAGCACAAAGCAGCAGGCGTTCCCTGCCCGTGCTCACTGCTCAGCGGGGCTGAGACACCCCTGCCCCCTGCCCGAGCACGGCCGGAGCGCGTTCGGCGCCCGGTGTCCGAGGGGCAGCGTTGTGCCCGGCTGCGCTCGCAGCACGGAGCGCTAATGCACACGGAAGTGTGCTCGGCAGCCGGGCAGCTACTGGTGTTTGAACACTCTGCCAGCAAGTCCAAACCACCGAGGGAAGGGAGGAAGGAAGGAAGGAAGGAAGGAGGGAAGGGCGCGGTGGCCTCAGAATGGTCCGCAGCGCCTGCCGGACACCCGGGGAATGGTGAGGGGAGGGACACTCTGGATGTTCACTTGCATTCAGGCTCCCTCCGTTGGCGGATGTGTGGCTGGTGATGCCAGTCACAGAGCAGGCCTGTTAGAAGGAGGTTTGGGGGCTAATCTGGGCTGTTTCGAGTGAGTTCATGCAGAAGGCTCTGCGAGGAGCCCGAGGCCCCTGCTTGCGGCCGTCTGCAGCAGCCAACGAGCGGGACTTGCTCCCCTCGGACTGCTTCCCCGATCAGGGAACTCCCCCCTTAGCCACTTGTGGGGCAGCTGGGGGCTCTGGGCTATCTGGGTTGACCACCTCTGGCCCCTCGGGGTCTCCACACACGGATCAGACAGGTAGGATGGCATCGTCTCAGCAGCAGGCGTAGCTGGCAGCTGAGCATCTTGGCAGTTTCCGTGGAGACTGCCCTTCCTGCTGGATAGGGGAAATCTGGGGAAACTTCATCTTCTACAGCCCGAGTGAAAACAGGAGCTCGTGCCCTCTGCCACCGCTGGCCTGCGGGATGTCCCCGGGCTGCGGTGACCACCCGGGTGCTGTGCTGTCCCTGCAGGTGTTCTCGGAGCGCGGCAGCAGCGGCGTGCGCTGCGCTCCCACCTCGGAGCTCTATGACGTCTGCCTGGTGCAGACCCATCTCCTGGAGGCCATCGCTGACGAGGACTATTTCATCCGCTGCGTGCAGAGGTGCGAGGAGAACTACGACCGCTACCTGGCACGCGCGGAGAGCGGCTCCCCGAGGCAGCTGTGGGACGGA